TTAGAACTTACTTTTTTGAAAATACCCCAGCAGTTCATTATTGAAATCAAATGTAATTTTTGGCTTCTCGCAACTGCTTCTGTAATTATAGCAAAATAACAGTTAACTTAAACTATTAACTGAGACTGAACAAAATTTCATTGACGGGAATGTCGAAAAGTATCAGTTAATTCCAGCGGGATTCCTATTTGAATGCATTCGCCTCGCTGATTCCATTAGCTATCAGTGAGCATTTCCGGTATTTGGAGAGCGGCTTCTAGCCGTCGAAAACTGTCAAGGTTGGTAAAGTATCAACAGCTTGATATCACTCATAAGACGACAATAGCAACTCTAAACAAATTTCGACGAGTTCCATGGAGCCAAATCGCAGTCTTCAGTAAGAGCACCTCAACTGCCGCTAAACCACTCAATGTTCCTTAGAACAAAACGAATGTTTGATGATAAAAGAATGCGAATAAATGCTGTAGTGAAATCAGCGAACAAATTTTCATACTATAATACTGTAATAAAATTTTCTCTCCGCGTTCCACAAACACTTGCTTTATGAATCATTATTCATATAGTCTCATTGCTGGCATTTAGCGCTTATTATAATTTCAGTGACAAGAAAGCTCATCCGTATGGTTCACTTACTATTAGAATTAGAATGTAGAAATCGGTGATTTTTAAATTTGACAAAACCTGCGGTAATGTCAGCCCACATCGTTCGGCAAATTTTCATATTCATCGCAATAAGTGAAAATTATTTTCTTGACGATATGTAAATGAGCTTGATGAGATTGTCGTTTCATTTGCTGGTTACGTTTTTGCAAGATGCGATTCACATGCCTTTTCATGGTTGGGGGAACAAGCGAACTCAACACGATAATTCCACTACGGAGTGTAACAATACACTAAATTTGTTTTGAAAATGACTAAACTGTCTAATTTATCCTCTCCACACTCCGTACAGATGTGACTTTGTATTGGTACGAAATTTTGAAAGCCTATCAAATTTCGATACATCGAACAAGAAATTTTCATGAAATACCAATAACGGAAATGACTATTTGAGAAGATCTTTCGAAGCGATAAATGCAATGCGAACTTTTTCTCACAACTTTTATCGTTTGTTCGTTTAATTTGAATAACGAGAATCCCAAGAATTTGTTTCAATTTGAATCATTGCTTGTTGCATCCATGCTGTTATTTGTGCAGACATTCGTGAGGATGTAGATATATATGTTTGTGCACACAAAACGAGAATTGCTCGCAGTAATTTATGATGTGAAATTGTATCTTTGACCGTTATTATTGTTTAAAAGTTTATTGAACAATACAATTTCTATCGAAATACAAAATATTTCTAACAAAACCAACGCGATTACAGAATCGAAGAGAATGCAGTAGGCCCGCAACAAGTGGTTTAAACACAAATTTGGCTACACTATAATAACAAATTCAGACATGCGCACTACTCTTTCATGGGTAAACGCTGCGAAATATGAATTGCAGACAATTGCACTTCCAGATTTGAATAGGCATAGGCTTGGCTGAGGTTTTTCACTGATAATCTCTTACTATTTTAACATTCACAAAGAAATAATTGAAAACATAGGAACAATTGTTCGTTTCTAATGCAACAAAATAACATAATTATGAATATTCCTAAAAAAATGCGACAGACAAATATTAACTATACTATTTTCAAACAAACGACTGACTATGCCAGTCCATTTGGAACCACGGAGCACTAACAGTTATGGAATCAATCAGTGCTCACCTGATTAGGCTCTATGAAGAGAATGGCGATGTTTATTCCTTAACGAGCCCTTTCATTGTTTTTCTTTACAAAAAATAGGACAAAGACCAGGTATTTGAAAGAAGTACCAAAAATTTTGTTACTCCTAGTAACTGTCGATTGAATCATTCGAAAGAGCGACGATTTCGAAAGCGACGAATCTTTTTTCTCTCTATGGTACTTCTAGTTCAACACGTTTTTTTTTTCATAGAAAAAGTACTTCTGGTTCAACACGTTTGTCTTTTAGTCCTTGCAGTAGTTTACAATAGAGGAAAGGAGAAAGGCTTTCACTGATGTGGAAGTGCGTTGATGGAGGATATGCTGAAGTTGTCCGGGAAAAGTTGACGAGCAAACGGAAGCATCAGCTTGTAGGTCAGTTTGACGGTCGTTTCGGCTGCTCCGGCTATGGCTCCAATTTCTGCAATAGCAAAAAATCATCGATGGATGTTCAACAACGAAATGATTAGCATCATACATTCATACTGCCAAAAAAAAACCGAAACGCCTAGAACATTGTATCGAGCTCTTGATCAATTGATCAGTCAATTGCGCTCGTGAAATATGCCAACCACAATAAGTCAACTACCTTTTGCATTTCGCTTCTCATTGGCGGATGCTTGTGATGCCATATAAATTGCCGCTGCGGCTATTGAAATAGGACTTCTCCTTGAATAATGCAAAAATTTCAGAAAAATATCTATTCGTCCCCTAGTCGAAATGAAATTCTAACAGTTCATTTCGAATAATTCCCTCAGTTCACAAATCTGACGTTCGAAGAGATTGACGGATTTGTGGAGTGAAAATGACGGCAGTTCGTCATCAGCTTATCCTCGTTGTAATATCATACATCAGTTACGTTACATATTCAACTTTGATATGTAAGAAAGCGACATGGAGTGGATTTAAAAGTACGTAGTGCAAATTCCGGTAACGAGAGGATTACCCGGCAACGAGATCCTTTTCAACAGCTTTTTTTGCGATTCGTGTTGCGATCATTTGCAAACGGTGTGACAGTCCGAGATTACCACAAAATCGGGACTGAAAACACTTCGATCACGATAAACTTCTCAATTCATATCAATATACTGATTATTGAAATTAAAAGCGACGAGGAAGCAGAAAATTAATAACTTTAACAAACCATAAAGTCAGCGCTAGTGATTTGTTCCAAATTTGTTTCCAAAGATCTGATCGCTAACTTGAAACAACGTCCGATTTCCTTCTTAGAAACCCTCGAAACAGCGCAAACCTCTGAAAGTTCGAAACATGTTGTTGGACTNCGACCTTTGAAAGTTCGAGGGACGCCTTCCTTTCTGCAGGCAATATACAAACAAGCAGCAGCTTTCGCTTCATCGTTTTTACCGACCAGTGCTCTTGTGTCCACTACGTCCTTGAACACCTTGGCGGCGATATCCTAGAATTGCACATCATTTCTATGCAACACTCGGCACACAACCCACATCAGTTTACGATCAAAGAAGTGAAGACCATACGATTATATCAGTGGTTTTCATCAGGGGTGAAATTATTCATTTTGAGTAATTTTGAGTTCTGAAGGGGTAATGGAGGAGATCGGGAAGTTAGTATTTCGTGCAATTTT